CCTCTCCCCGGAGAGTCCCCGCAGCAGAAGTCTCCGCAGTGCTCGTCGCCTTAGGCCTCCCCCCCTCCATCTCTCCCTCCTGAAGGGGGGTGGAGAAGGGTGCCTGGAGCGGGGAAAGGTAGGGCGCGAGAGGGTAAGAGTGTGGTGAGGACGGGTGGGTAGGAGGAGGAGGAGGAGGAGGAGGAGGAGAAGGAGGGTTGGGAAGGAATGGGCATGATGATGATGACGATGATGATAGTGATGCGCATGATGGAGATGATGATGATGCTGATGGTGATGATCACACTGATGATGATGATGATGATGATGATGATGGTGATGGTGATGGTGATGATGAAGATGATGAGGGTGATGCTGCGCATGCTGTTGATGATGATGGTGGTGTTGGTGAGGATGATGATAATGATGATGATGATGATGATGATGATGATGATGATGATGATGATGATGATGATGATGCGGATGATGATGCGGATGCTGGTGCTGCTGTTGATGATGCTGATCCGTATGCTGATGCTGATGCTGCTGATTAGATTGAGTCTGATGATTATAATGCTGATGCTGGTGATGATCATGATGATGTGGATTAGGATAATGATGATGCCGATTATGCCGATGATGCTGTTGATGGTGATCGTGATGATGGTGATGACGATGATGATGATGCTGACGACGACGATGATGATGATGCCGATGCCGATGAGGATGAGGATGAGGATGAGTATGATGAACATGCTGATGCTGCTGATGATGATGACGATGACGATGACGATGATGATGCTGCTGCTAATGATGACGATGGTGATGATGGTGATCATGCTGATGATGATGATGACGATGATGATGATGATGATGATGATGATGATGATGTCGACGACGATGATGATGAGGATTATGATGGGGATGATGAGAATGATGATGATGGTGATGCTGATGATGATGATGATGATGATGATGGTGATGATGATGTGGATGATGATGCTGATGATGATGATGATGATGATGATAATGATAATGATGACGAGGATTATGATGATGCTGATGATGATGCTGATGATGATGATGATGATGATGCTGATGATGATGATGATGATGATGCTGATGATGGGGATGATGATGATGGTGAGGATGATGATGAGGAAGGGGACGAGGATGGGGAGGAGGAGGGTGGAGGATCAGGAGTGATGATAAGGAGGAGGGGGAAGAGGAGGGGGAGGAGGAGGAGGAGGAGGAGGAGGGAGGAGGAGGAGGAGGAGGAGGAGGAGGAGGGAGGAGGAGGAGCGGGAGGATGAGGAGGAGGAGGGATAGGGGAATGATGTGGGGCTGTGGCGTTGGTTAGGAGGAGGGGATGATGATGATGATGAGGAGGAGGAGGAAGACTGCACACCAGGATGAGGAGGAGGGATGATCAGAGAGGAATGGAAGAGAGGAGGAGGAGGAGGAGGAGGAGGAGGAGGCGGAGAAGCTGGAGGCGGAGGCAGAGCATGGAGGAGAGAGGAGAGAGGAGGAGGCGGAGGAGTTCTGGAGGAGATGCGTGCGAACTGATATGGGAAGGACGATCTGGGAAGGACTCGGCCGAGAGCGGTGGACTGGTTCTTGCGGATTCACCGCCAGGTCGTGACGTGCGCCAGCGTCCTCTTGTTCGGGGTGCTCACCGAGGAGGCAGGCTCTTCCCTCCCCTCCCCGCCCTCCCCCAAGATGGAGGGAAACAATGGTGATGGTGATGATGATGCTGCTGCTAATGATCATGTTGATGATGGTGATGCTGACTTTGCTGATGATGATGATGATGATGGTGATGATGATGATAATGATTATGATGATGTTTATGCTGTTGGTGATGATGATGGTGATTATAATGATGCTGCTGATAATGATGACGATGCCGATGACGATTACGGTGATGATGATGTTGATGATGCTGAAAATCTTGATGACAGTGATCATGTTGATTCTGGTCATGATGATGGCGATGGTGTTTAGGATGGGACATATGATGTTGATCATGATTATGATGCTGATGGTGATAATGATTATGGTGTTGGTGGTGGTGGCGGTAATGGTGGCAATGAGGTTTCCGATGAGGATGAGTACCTTTGCGAGGATGCGCATGATGCTGATGATGATGATGCTGTTGACGATGATGATGATGCTGATGATGATGATGAGGGTAATGATGTTTCTGATGATTATGATGCTGATTATGCTGAGGATGATGAAGGTGATGGTGATGATGGTGATGAGGATGATGTTGATGCTGATGCTGATGCTGATGCTGATAATGATGATGATGATGATGGTGATGATGATGATGATGATGATGATGATGATGAGGATGAGGATGAAGATGATGATGATGATGATGATGATGATGATGATGATGATGATGATGATGATGATGGTGATGATGATGATGATGATGATGGCCATAGTGGTGGTGATGACGATGATGGTGATGATGATGACCAAGAAGATGAGGAGGAAGAGGACCATCGGCCAGGTGAGCGATCCGGGTTCGATGTCGATTTCGGCAGGCCCGATCCGATCAGGTGCCAGCATTTATCCACGGTCAGGTGCGACCAGGTGGGTGCTCGGCGCGGCCAGTCCGGTTCATGCAGATCAGCGGCCCGGCTCGATCCACATGCCGATCGTCCGATCCCATTTCCCCGTCCAGTGCGGTCGGATCTTGCCATTCTCGCCATGGTTTTGTCATACATCGGCGGCGAGCGAGGGGGGGAAGTGAGAAGCATAAGGCCTTCTCTGAAGGCGGTCGGACTTCTCAGAAGCCCTCGCGCCATTGAAAAGTGCCCTGCGTCTTCGGGGAAGGCTTATATCATTTCGCAGTAGGCTGGGGGACCTCCGAGTCTCCTGAGAAAGACTTCTCCTTCTCACTTTCCCCCCCCGCTCGCCGCCAATAAGCAGGACACTCCCAGACCCCCGACGTCATGATTTTTTTTGTAATGACGTCGGCCCCCAGAGGTCTGGACCCATTCCCCGGGACCGGCTTTTCATCCCAGGTCGTTTTGTTGGCGGCCCCCAGGCCTCGTTGAGGCCCCCTGAGGCCGAACATGGCGAAAGAGCTTTCGCCATTTCTTCACAGCGCGAGGGTGTCTGAGCTCCAGCCGCCCGCCTCGCAGACACGGCGGGGGGCCTGCTTGCCCCCCCGCAGCGGCGGGCGCAGACACCTCGCCCGCGCTCCCCCCCCCCCCCCCGGGCAGCGCCGAGGGGGCGCCTCGCCGCGATCCGCGGAGCGCGCCGCCTCCTCGCGCGGGGGCGCGCGTCGGGCGGCGCGCCTGGGGCGCGCGGGCGGAGGGGAGGGGAGCGAGCACTGGCACACAGTGGGGGCCCCTGCCAAGGAGCACCCTGCTTGCCTCCTGGGTGCCCAGGGTTTCTCGGGCTTCGATGGTTCTGCGATGGGAAGCGCGACGCTCCCGCACCGAGAGTCAAGGAACGACCCGGGGTCTCAGGGTCGGGTTTCTTGTGGAAGGTTTCTTGTGGACTGGCCTCCACTGTGAGCATAACGACTCGGAGGTCCGCGCGGACTTCTCGGATCGGCGCTGGAGCCCCCTGGCGGCGCCTCCGGCGCCGCTCCTGGCGCGCTTCGCGCGCCAGGGAGGGGGGCCCCAGCCCCGATCCGAGCACTGCGCGCGGACCTCCGAGTTGTTGTTGCTCGTGTCACTGCTTGCTCCCCTGGTACAGGGCGGCGCGGCGCCCCCTCCCGCCCCGCGTGCGCGCTCTCCGCGGCGGGGCGGCTGCGGGCTGCCGCTCGGTCCCAGACATGCGCGCGTCGCGAGCAGCAGGCCGAGGCCCCGTGGAGTCCTGGCAGAGAAGGTCACAACGAAAGGTTCTGCTCGCTACTTCCGGCCTCTGGGGGCCCCTCCTACTGGGCCTCGGGGCCGTCAAGGGTAGTGGTTCCACGAGAAGAAAAACCGGTCGTGGGGAGTGGGTCGGGACCTTTGGGGGTCGACGTCATGCAACAAATCATGACGTCGGGGGTTTGGGGAATTCGGGTGACGGGCCGATTTTCCACCACCACTACTTTGGGCAGGAGAGGGAGGAGGCAGAGGTGGAGGAGGAGGCAGAGGTGGAGGAGGCGGAGGAGGAGGAGGATGAGAAAGGAGGGGAAAGGAGGAGGAGGAGGAGGACCTCCCCATCCTTCCTCTCCCTCCGTCCTACCTACGGTGGTGGTGGTGGTGGACACAGTTGCCCATCATCAGGTGTTGCTCGAAGTGTGCCTCCCCAGGATTTCCAGGGAGCCCCCCACGGTCTCCAGAGCGCCCCCCCGCACGGGGGCCAGGCTCCAAAATGGAGCGAAAAGCTTGGGGCACCTTGGGTCAAGTCGGGCACGTCTCTTTCTACAGGAGGGTTGTCCAGGAACAGTTAAGATAGCCTGGGGGTGATGTCTCTACTGTGTTTTATCAGTTTCGAGTTTTTTTGGCTAGCAACCCCCGATCAGTCAGGGCGGGAGGAGGTTCTTGGCCGCCTTCGGCCTTCGCGGGGGTCCTCCCCGGGCTCCCCCCCGGACCAGCAAAAAATCGGCTCGGGACGAGAAGCTGGTCCCGGGGAAGGGGGCGGGGCTTTCAAGGACCGCGTGCTGACAGAGTCGCGGCATCGCATGTCTGGGGTAGCAACTCATGAGGACCTCGTGTCAAGGCCTCCCAGACGGGGTCTGAATACATGGGGTCGGAGGGTCGCTCCGCATCGCCGATGCATCGGCGATGCTGCCCGATGTTGGGCCCGATTTTCTCCACGTCGACTTCGCCGATGCATCTGCGATGCGGCGCGATCCTCTGGCCCCTTCTACTCGGACCCATTTGGGAGGCCTCCATCGTGTGTCCTCGGGATTTGTTTTTAGAGTGCATTTGCGTGTGCTGGCGTGTGTTTTTCGAAGAGAAAGCGCCGATTCAGCGTCGAGTAGTGTCGACATTGTGTGGACAAGCGTCGATTAGCCTCGGTTGGCGTCGATCCGCAAGGACCAGCAAGATGTCGCTGGGAGGCTCATGAGTTGCCACAGAACTCGCGTGCGGCGCGCGATGGACGAGGACGAGGACGCGGCGCTGGAGCGGTTCATGCAGGAGCCCGTGTTGGCCTAAACGCCACAGGACTACAGAGGTAGGCGCCAGCACCAGCATTGGTAGGCGCCTTCCCCGAGGGGGGCTGGCTCTGTTCCCGGTGATGGTCGCACGGCAGGCTCATCCGACAAGGAGTTTGCCTGCCAGCAGGTGCCCCGTGGAGCTTCACGTGAGGACCCTCTAAAGACGACGAAGGGTGCCCAATATTCGTTGGCCAAGGATCGGCCACAACGCTGTTTAGCTTGGTCTGGGCCCTTGCTTTGTTGTTCGTTTCGTTGTTCGTTGTTGGTTCGTTTCGTTTTTCGCTGTTGCTTTAAACGCCCCGCTTCGTCGTTCGTTTTCGTTTGGCACCGGCTTCGTTTTAAACGTTCGTTTTCGACGTCGGGTCTCGTTTCGTTTGCCGTTGTAAACGCCGTTTCGTTTGAAACACCGCTGTGGTCGGTCCCTGTCGTTCGTGTGCGACTGCCTCTACTGTACTACTCGGGCTTCTTGGGCGGCCGAAAGATTACCACCCGTATCGAGATCTAAGATCATCGTCCGTGGGCCGAGGGAGCCCGCCCGATGTTCCCCCCCGACTCCGCGGCCACGAGTCGTCCTCGTCGGGGGGTCGTTTCGGGCGAGCGGGCGGGCAGGCAAGCGAGGGAGCAGGCGGGTTGCGCGAGAAAGGTACAGATCACAACCGGTCGGTTCAGATCCCAACCGGACGGTTCAGATCACAACCGGCAAGGACACGTGGGACTGGATAAGATCCCAACCACTTTTGAGCCTCTGAGAGGTTCTGAGCAGTTGTGAGAGGTTCTGGAGCCTCTGAGAGGTTCTGAACTGTTGAGAGGTTCTGAGCCGCTGAGAGGTTCTGAGCGGTTCTGGAGCCTCTGAGAGGTTCTGAGCAGCTCTGAGAGGTTCTGAGCAGTTCGGAGAGGTTCTGGAGCTTCTGAGAGGTTTTGATTTCTGAGAGGTTCTGAGCAGTTTTGGAGCTTCTGAGAGGTTCTGAGCCTCTGAGAGGCTTTCTGGAGCCTCTGAGAGGTTCTGAACCTCTGAAAGGTTTTGAGCGGTTCTGGAACCTCTGAACGGTTCTGAGCTTCTGAGTGGTTCTGAGCGGTTCCGGAGCCTCTGACAGGTTCTGAGCCTTTGAGAGGTTCTGAGCCTCTGAGAGGTGAGCCTTTGAGAGGTTCTGAGCCTTCGAGAGGCTCTGGAGCTTCTGAAAGGGTCTGAGAGGTTTCCCGAGGTTCTGGAGCATTTGAGAGGTTCTGAGCCTCTGAGAGGTTCTGGAGCCTCTGAGAGGTTCTGAGCTTCTGAGAGGTTCTGAGCTTTTGAGAGGTTCTGAGCTTCTGAGAGGTTCTGAGCTTCTGAGTGGTTCTGAGGCCTCTGAGAGATTCTGAGCTTTTGACAGCTTCTGAGCCTCTGAGAGGTTTTGAGCCTCTGAGGGGTTCTGAGCCTCTGAGAGGTTCTGAGCCTTTGAGAGGTCCTGAGAGCTTCTTCGAGGTTCTGAGGCCTCTGAGAGGTTGTGAAGCTTCTGAGAGGTTCTGAGCCTTTGAGAGGTTCTGGTCCGAGGTTCTGGAGCCTCTCGGAGGTTCTGGAGTTTCTGCAAGGTTCTGAGCTTTCGAAAGGTTTTGAACAGGCTCTCCGAGGTTCTGGAGCATTTGGAAGGTTCTGAGCATCTGGGAGGTTCTGCGAGGTTCTCCGAGGTTCTGGGGCCTCTGAAATGTTCTGATCCTCTGAGAGGTTCTGAGTTGTTTTCCGAGGTTTTGGAGCCTCTGAGAGGTTCTCAGCCACTGAGAGGTTATCAAGGGTTCTCCGACATGTTGGTGCCTTTGAGAGGTTCTGAGAGGCTCTCCGAGGTTTTGGAGCCTCTGCGAGGTTCGGGAGCCTCTGAGAGCTTCTGAGAGCCTCTGAGGAATTGTTGTCGCTTCGCGAATCCCCACCAGCCCATCCAGAAACGATGCCCAGAGGAATTGCCTCGATCAGAGAAGTGGGCAGCACACAGAGGAAGCCATTATGAGACATCTTGGGATATCTTGAGCCATCTTGGAGGTCATTTTGGGCTCTCCCAGACGCTCTTGGAGTCATCTTAATCCGTGCCCCCCCCCAAGAGGCCTCCATGTGGCTAAAACCTGTGTAGAATCAATGATTAGGCATTCTCGCCGAGGCCTCTTGGAGCATCTTGGGTGCATCTGGGGGGGCTCTTGGGGCCTCTTGGGGGTCTCTTGGGGGCCTCCGGGGGGCCTCTTGGGGGCCTCTTGGGGCCATTTTGGGGCCATCTTGGGACCTCTTGGGGCTTCCTGGGCGCTTCTTGGGGCCATCTTGGAGGAGATCGATCAAACAAGAGGGGGGGTTTAATTAGCGTCCCCCCTCGGAAGCCCCTAAAATCGCCTCTTGGACCCCTCTTGGAACGCTCTTGGAGTGCTCTTGGGCGCTCTTGGGGCCGTCT